GAAACATCTCTAACCAAAAAGAAAAGAAGTCCAGTTGCCATGACTCAACCTCCAGACAATTAATTCGACCTGGATGACTGAGAATCTTCATAAACATTTTGCCACACTGTACTGTAGCCAACCAGATGTTATGGGAAGCTCACAAGCAAAATGTAATATGCAGAAATTTATTTCAATCATTTTTGCTGATGAACAACATTTGTGCTTGAAAAGCTATATAGTAATATGTGTCCTCCGTCATGGTGCTTGCCCTCTGGAAGAGCATCCCTCCCATATTGCTCCCACCCATATTGCTCCCACCCTGATGACATTCAGAAAGTCACTGAAAACCTGGCTATTCTCCCAGGACTTGGGGTAGGTTGGGTGTCAAGTCCCTGTAGAATTTGTTCTTCCAGACATGAATTGTTAATGTTCTTATAATTAGTGTTTTCTTATTTTTAAAGTTATGACCCACCCAGAGTCTTTTGGAGTTTGGTGACCTCTAAATTGTATGTATGTATGAATGTATGCATGTATAAATTTTAACAAAAGTTGCAAATACTTCCAGCCAACTCTGCATATTTGATTTTTAGGAGCCTTCAAAGAAATGGAGAAAGTTTCCTTACTCTCCCCAGTGGGTTAGTATATTAGATGTGGCTCAAAAAATCTTGGACGAAGAAGACAAAATGAAAAAGAAACATAAGGAGAATAAGGCAAAAGAAAAACGATCCCAACCAGATAAGAATTTCAGAAAGGAAGAAATAGAAACTGAAGAAGAACAGATGCCTCAATTTTGCGATCTGCACAGTATAAAACTAACAGCTATGCAACCTTTGTTAGAACAGTTACCATCTCCAAAGATCTCATATTTACGGGCTGAGAAAGAGATCTTAACAGCTAAAGAAATAGAGGATATTATTCAGGAAATTGTGGCCCTCAGGGCCAAAGAGAGACTCTCTGAAGAAGCTACATCTGCAGAAAGAGAGAAGTTCTTTTCCCGAGACATCCCTCCCATAAATGCCCCAAAGCCATGCTATCACTGGGACTGGAGATTGTCACTTTAAGATGAGTGCTCAGGGATGAATGCCCAGAAACCAAAATCCAGATCACTGCTTTCGGAGCACCATTCAATAACCTATCCCTGTGCTGAAATGTTTTTGCTCTTGTTGTTGTTGCTATTGCTGCTCCTGCTGCTTTCCAGTCAAAGCCTCTGTGGGCAAGTTCCTTAATGTGTACTAAATTTGCAGAAAGATGCAGAAATAAATGCTTCTTCAAATGCCTGTCCTGTCATGTAAACTGCAAGTTGACTGGACTGTGTTTAAGCAACTTTTGGATCTGTTCTAATTGAGTAGGGCTGGGTGTTCAAATAACATTCTCAGATGAGGCTGGTAAACAATTTTTATAGCAAGCAAACTATTTATTAGTTATGTATTGTTTTTATATCATGCATTTAGTCCAAAAGCTCAAGGCAGAATACATAGTTATTTCCTTTCCACCCACCATGGGATTTATTGGAAATAGAATTTATGTGTGATGAAACTATAAATCCCCTAAAACTTTTTAAATTCCTACAAAACTGCATGCTTAAGGTTTGCTTTACAAATTGGGTAATTTTAATCCTGTAGCTAGGAAGTGTGAAACAGTTTTAATTCTTGTCCAAAACATTTTGCTGACTAATTACTGGATAACCAGAAGAGATCTGTGAAGGTTTTAAGGAGAGAAAAGGAATGGTAGAAAGAAAAGGAAGATTGTCTCCCATCCCCTATTTTCTATATTTCCCCCCTCTCATTAGGCCCTGGGGAATTCAAAGGATATTGAGACTCAATAAAGAGCTTGCACCATGAGATGTAACAAGAACTTGGCTCCTGATGATTTGCTGGGAAGCAAATCCTTAACTGAGGAAATTCCCCAATGGCAAAAATGAGGAAGGAGTTGATGAGTTGAAGGACATTAAATAACTTCTATTTAATCCCTGCCCCTTCTCTCTCTCTCTCTCTCTCTCTCTCTCAATTTTGCCATCAGTAACATATCTCTGTTTCCTATCAAGCCATGAATTGTTAAATGGATAGATTATTAAGAAAAATAATAATGTCAGTGTGAATGTTTATTCCACAGAAATAAGATCCCTGTCTCTATTCTAATCCCAGTGCTACATACTCAACCTCGAGAAGTTGGGTTACTACACATGAATATCTAGCTGTTATTGTAGAAGACGGATATCACTTTAAAAGAGATACATTTTCAGATGAATAGTTTTCTGCAAAAACCTGAAATGACCTACCAGCTTATTTCATGCTGTTTCATTTTTCAAAGCAAGACACAGTATACCAACAGTTTCAAAAACCACAGGTGAGATGTTTGAAACAAGTGTCTTACACAAAGAAAGAAAGATTATGAAAATGAACATGAGCAAGAGCCAGAAAGTAAGAACAAAGGGGTGAGCAACTAGGAGTTGTAATAACACAGGAAGCAAATATTTGTCCTAGCTTCAGTCTTTACAGGAAAAGGTATATAAATATTGGGAACTGCACATAGCAATACAACTGGAAGTGTGAATACTTCTAATGTACTTGACTATACAGAAAGTTTTGTCTAGGGATTATTAAAGCCCTTCATGACATGGGGCCAGGTTATTTGAAGGACCACCTCTCCCCAATTACATCTGCCCATCCCGTCAGGTCCAGCAGAAGAGGTATGCTGCAGGTTCTGTCTGCCAAAGAGTTACAACTGGTGGGACCCAGGAGACAGGCCTTTTCTGCCATGTCACCCATCCTGTGAACATCATCTCCCCTAAGAAGAGATTGGCTCCATCTCTTTCAACCTTCTGGAAGTCCTTCAAAACCTGGCTGTGTTGGGTCACAAGAGAATGGTGGCCCAATGAAGTGGTTCCATTGTTGATAATATCTGATGCTCTCTCCTGGCCTTTTAATAATAACTAGACAACCCATGACCTGTTGGGTCATTGTTTCAGAGATATTTCCTTACCTAAACAGAGAAACAAACCAAGGGCAAAAAACCAGTTGGAGTGGGAGCAACGTGCAATTTGCTGCTGGCTTCCCCATTGACTTTGCTTGTGGGAAGCTGGCAGGGAGCATCAGAAACCAACCTTCCTTCCTCCCTTCCTCCCTTCCTCCCTTCCTCCCTTCCTCCCTTCCTCCCTCCCTCCCTCCCTTTTTGTACTTCTAACCCCAAATCAAGATATTGCAACACTCCATCTCCTAGACTTTTGTCTCCACTGAGAGATAAATGCTGCTATCTATTTTCTGAAAAGTTGAAGATGTTATTTGTCCAAATATATTTCATCTAGTCTCCTGTTTTGGTATTCTTTTGTTTTCTATGTTTATGTTAGCTCTCTTCTTCTCAATTTTGTTTTAATTTGTTCTAAATTTGTTACCTTGTGCCCTGACCTAAAATGATACCACCAATAATCTAGTTCTTAGGTCAACTGATTGGAGCAGTGATGCAGTGATACATAACTGTTCCCTTCCAATTTGGATTACGAACATCCTCTGCCAAAGGGAGTCAAAGTAGTGAATATTCGGTGCTCTTCAAGGAAATGTCCCACAGTCTGAGAACTATTAGTACATTAGTTTGAAATACTGTCTAACATATGCCACTATATGATTCCTGTATTGCAAATCGTGAAAACAGCAATACTTCCCAAAGGCTATACCTGAAAATTAATCAAACATTTCAGCAGGTTCAGCACACACCACCAGAGTAAACACAAGCAGTTCAAAAGAATGAGATGCAAAGCCAATTTGGAGTTTTTTGTTATCCAATAAAGGTGAGAAATATGACACATTCCACCTGTTGGAGGGAAACTGCTGCTTTCTGTCATGACTCAGAACAAATTAATAACATATAATTGTGGTGCCACCAGCCTGGCACATACTTTCTGACACAGGTATTTACTCCTAAAAGGTGTCAGCCAGAAAAAAAAAAGTGCAAAGGCATGTTAAGTCAAATAAGAGATGGGGAAAATCAAACTGGCTTTCATAACCTCAATAATTTTTATACATACCTTTTCCTCCTCTTTCTGTTCTTAAGTGCACAAAGTCCCTTAAAGGCCACTGTTTTCTTATAAAACATCCAAATAAATAACCATTAAAAATGTTGAAAATGTTCCCCTGCATGAATGAATAACACACCGCTAACACTAAGCACATGAATTAATAACACAACTTAAAAAAAAAAACACACTTTCCATAGTCTGTAATTTCAACCTTACTGCAATATTAACTAAAGCATGTTAACATACCACTACCACTAAAAAAATCACTACATTTTTCAAAGAAAAAACCCTTACATTTCCAATTTTTTTCTTTTTCTTTTTGGTATGGGAATAACAAATAGCTCACATAGGAGAGAGGAGTTTAATAGATGTATTCTTCAAAATGTTTTTTAAAGATGGTCTAGCTCTTTCTGTAGTTCCTCACCATTAATACCATTATCACTCAGATCTTCCCACAAGAGGTCCTTCTCATCATCTCCTCCAATCATACTTCTCAAAAATCTTCCAAACCTGTTTTACAAGAGGGTCTCACAAGATTACAATACGTTTGGAGGACACAAGGAAGAATGGCTGTAGTAGACGGAAACATCCCCATTATTCATTTTGCTGATATACTGTTAAACTGGATTGCCTTCAGAGTAAGCCTGCTTTGGTCATTAGAAAACCCTAAGAAGTGCTCTTGGGGCAAAATCAATATCAGCTCCATTCACTTATCCTTCAATTGTGTTGTCTCACAAGCATCGTTAATATGAAAACACCAATACTATAGGTAATACTTCAAACACTTTTCTAAGGTTCAGCTCCAGTGTTTAAAATCCTCTACTAAAAACAAGCCTATAATCCTACTCAGATTAGAATTATACAGCAGCATGATCCTAAGATACATGCCCAAAGGCCATTTGTGTAATGTAATTGGAGAGCAAACACTGGCAACTGAAGAACTTCAGACTGGGTGGCAAAAATCCAGATGGTCACCAGGGTTAGGGCATTTCTTTGCTGTCACCTTACGGTTGTGCAGATCTTTGCAGCCCAGTTCTGCTAAAGTTATGATAAATTTAAAAAATAAAATAGCATCCATCAAGGATTTACATGCTGCTAGCATTATAGCACATTTAATTGATGTATCCAATGGACAGTGTAAAAATAGCAGAAGAAATCAAGTGTCACCCATGTTTGTAATATCTGCCAAGACGCCTTGGGGATTATTTTTGAAACCATCAAGTGGAGACAAAGCACATTAGAATGTGCTATTTCAGTGAACTGAGAAGCTTGTTATAGCCTCTAATTAAAAAGAAATAAGACACTTTTATTTATGAAATGTAAGATTAATTCATAAAAAAATGAAACAGGCTTCTCTAAAACATCAGGATGATGTCAATATATTTAATAGGAGGAGATCATATACTTCTGGAAGATAAACAACTAAATACTTGGACTTTTTTCTGAAAGGAGCAAAAGCAGGGATTGCGTCATCATCATCCGCCTCCAGCTTGAATTCCACTCAGAATGAGCTGCCTCTCCGGTAGTATTATGGTAAAGGAAATTGCTCATTACTTGCCCTCAGTGGCTTGATGCTAAAAGGAAATGTTGATGATGCTAAAAGAGCCAGTCTGGTGTAGTGGTTAAGGCTCCAGGCTAGAAAGCAGGAGACAGTGAATTCTGGTCCCGTCTTAAGCATGAAAGCCGGCTGGGTGACTTTGGGCCAGTCCCTCTCTCTCAGTCCAACCCACCACACAGGGCTGTGACTGTGGGGAAAATAGGAGGAAGAAGGAGTATTAGGTACGTTTGCCGCCTTGAGTCATTTATAAAAATAAAGGCGAGATTTTAAAAAATCTAAAAAAAAATCTTCCTATTCTGCTTGACTAATATGAAGCATTGGG